TTCATGCCAGGAGAAAGACAACAACAGTGCTAATCATAAATATAAATTGACTTGTGAGGTTTTTGTTGTGCGGTGTGTGTGTCTTAAAACATCATGTGCAGTAAACAACTTGGAGTAATAAATACCTATATTTAGATAGGACTTGGGGATCTTAAAGTCAATTTTATATTTAAATACAAACAACTTTATCTCTCATTGTATGCTAATGTTCTAGCATAGCCAAAGCTGCAGAGATAATGGAAAACCATTTATCATTACTATGAATATAGTTACAGGAAGAGGTTAAAGAAAAGCAAGTAATAGAAGAAGGGTATGCATTTTTGGTGAGAGCTTGTTTATGACTGCACACTGAAAACATGAGATATGCCAAGATGGTTGCTTTGCATGCGCCTTCGGTGTTGTAACTAATGTTAGAGTTACCTGTTGGGGTGAAATGCACGTATTTCTTGGCCTTGCATGTCTGTAGAATTGGAACATGTCATTGTTTTTGCTGGGGAGTGCTCTGGGGTCGTGCCATGCCATTGTGCATGTGTGATGCAGGAGCAGGGAGGTTTGCAGGGGCTGGGAAGGGGGAGAGGCTAACTGAATTAATGCAAAGGCACAAACAAGAAATGACCTTGTTTGGGGAGTGTGTTTCCTTCTGAGTAGGGACAAGTAGTAATTATCCTCCTTTCAGTGCTGAACTAACAAGTAATTACTGTTATTCCTTAATTAAAGTATGCAAATTGAAGATTTCTTTTTTTTTCCTCCCCAGACTGAGTTAAATACCGTTATTCACAGCTGACAAAAGTTCTCAATATTATTTTGGTTCATCCTTGAAAAGGTTCAGTAACCAAAAGAAAGCCTAACAAAAAAAGCAGTGAACCGGGCCAGATGTGGGTCATGGTATACAAGACTTGCTCAGAGCGTGTGCCTCTGCAGGCTCTGGGGGTACCTATAATTACACACACTGTTTGCAGCACTGTTTTGATGAGTGCACCTACCCACTGGTGCTGCTGCTGAAACTGGGGGATTGGAGGGAGGGGGCTTTTAAATCAGTCCCACAGGATATGGGACAAATTACTTGCTTTTTATAGTACGTTTGTATGAAAGACAGAAATTTGTAAGAGATTAAAGGGTTTGCAAAGGCACTGGGTCAGTTATGATTCATAGAGAGCCATCCTGGGGGAGACAGTTTACTCTCCCCTCACTCTCATTAATTCACTTGCAAATTTTTCACCAGCCAGCTGGTACAGAACAGACCTTAGGTAGCTGGTGCAAGTGTAAAGTTACTTTGCAGTACAACTGCAGAGTAAAACTGTACTAGAGCTCTGAAAAGTCAAATGTAGACCCTGAGAGAAAAGAGGATGGGCATGTGTCTGTGGCAGTGAACTCAATTCAGCTGCTGCCTTTTCTGATGCACTTATGACTGCAGAAATCATCTAAAAACTCTGTTCCCGATTTTAACAGTGGGGGGTAATCATAGAGGTTATTTTCCAACCTAAATGATTCTAAGATGATTGAGTCCCACCGTTAGCCCATCAATGACAAGTCCACCACTAAACGATGTCAACAAATGCCACATCTACATGCCTTTTAAATACCTCCAGGGATGGTGACTCCGCCGTTTCCCTGGGCAGCCTATTCCAGTGCTTGACAGCCCTTTTGGTAAAGAAATTTTTCCTAATATCCAATTTAAATCTTCCCTAGTGCAACTTGAGGCTGTTTCCTCTTCTCCTATCACTTCTTATTTGGGAGAAGAGACCGACCACCGCCTTGCTACAATCTCCTTTCAGGTAGTTGTAGAGAACGATAAGGTCTCCTCTGACACTCCTTTTCTAGACACCCCCAGCTCCCTCAGTTGCTCCTCACAAGACTTGTGCTCCAGATGCTTCACCAGCTCCATTGCCCGTCTCTGGACACACTCCAGCACCTCAATGTCTTTCTCGTAGTGAGGGACCCAAAACTGAACGCAGGGCCTCACCAGAGCCCAGTACAATGTTGCCTAGTCTCAGAGGGGTTTCTGAAGATGAATCTGTGAAGCCTTGGAACATTTACAGATCCTGTGTTAATGGGAAGGGCTATGGGTTTGTAAGAGCTACCTGTACCTGAGGCAGAAATTGAGAGGTTGGCAAAGCCAGGGTGTGTCCCCAAGTTCTGATTTTCACAGGCAGGGTGTTTGGTACAGGACCTGCCAGTTGGGGAAAGGGAGCTGCTTCCTGGTTCTGTGACATGCTGAAATCCCCGGTCCCCTGTGACCTGCCTTTTTGCCAGGTGCACCAGCTGCCTAGGTGCCTAGCTGCTGTTCTGCAGGAGCACTGGATTTTTGTGCCATCAGACTGGACCCCAAGAAACATGCTTTGCTGGTTGGAGGTATAATGGTCAAAATTTTAACAGAAGTTCTCTACAGAGAAGCTGAAGGACCAATTTACACCTGGCTGGGAAAGGAATAAGAATGAAGTAAAAAGTAACTTTTGAAGTTAATAGTCAGGATGAGGCTTTGAGGACAAAACAGACCAAGTAGCAAATACTTTGGTGTAATTTATATAGAAGCATACAGCAATATTAATTTGTATAAATAAATGGAGGAACTTGTGTCAACCATGGTGCATGCCTGGGTTGCAAGCCCATTTTAACTATTACAACTAATTCTTGGTTTTTTGATGAAGAATGACATTGTCATTAAACAAGAAAATAAGTGGGTTTGTTTGGTTTGCTTCTCTAAAACATGTTAAGATCTCCCAGTGCTTCTGGCTACAAGTATGTCTTCTGTAAAACTACTTTTAACCATTTTTTCTGATTCTAATGTCATCAACATGAATTGTGTTTTGGTTTTTTTTCATATTAATGAGCCTGACAGTGCTTGCGAAGCAAATGCTACATATCAATGCCTTCGGGTTATTATCTGAGAGGCAGACCACATATCAGTGAAACAGGACGAAAAGAGTGTGGGGTAGCAGAACTTCACAGCAATCCTTTATTTCCTCCCTAAATGTGGCTAATCAGGTGTTTCTTTGTCATGTAATTTTAGTAAAATATCTTGGGAGTAAGTTATCAGAAGGGTATCCCTGTTATCTTGTTTATCCTGTGCATTTTTCAAGGGGGGCATTTTTCATTCATCTGCACAGCAACATTGTGCTTTCTAACTTAAATGTGAAAAATAATCCAAAGCTGATAGCAAAAATACATTCTTTCTTATCAAATATGTATTCTTTCTTATCGCAAGTAATAGGAAGGCGAACATCACTGTCTGTACCCCTTTGGAAACATAGGAACTTCACTGCATTTTCAGTTTTAATTTTTTTCTGGGTTTATTGCTTTATATTTTATTTTGGAGTTAGTACTTGATGTGGTTTATTGAAAAAGGGTAAGAAAATATGCTTCTATGCTGCAAAACTAGAAGAACCTGGCACAAAGAAAGGCTATAGATTTTTAGACTACAAGGTAAAACCAGGGGTACAGAGGTACCAAATTAGTTTTTTAATCCAATGGCCAATTTCTAACCCATGTAATGAGCAAATTACTCTCAGTTTAATTCCATGCATCACCTTGAGGGCAGTACTACTCCTTAACAGAAAGCTAATACCATCATCACTGAAATGGCATTATTAATTACTCACATACAAATAAAATCTTATGCATTCAAGATAGGCCAAATAAATCAAAACATTCTTCTCTGGGATTTTATTTCTGTTTGCTTTGGATTGATTTTGAAAAAATGGGAGAGTTGCTTTCTGCTTTGAATGAAATTCTCCCCCTGCTCTGACAGTTGCATGAGCCATGTGTCCAGGAGGTTTCTGCTTGTAATTGTGTAGCAAGTCTGCCTCAGTTCAAGAAGGGCCACCTTAAAGGTTGGGCGGGTTTGATTTGCAGCTTTTTGGTTTCTTTACTGAAACTGTTGTCTAGAGCTGTAATTGCTGGTATGATTTTTGAAAAGTGAGGTTGTCACTGAACTAAAATAGGGACTAAGCTACCCACTCTGTGGGTAGCTTCACTATTGCTTTTCTTCCTAAATTGTCACAAGTTTCCCTTTTTCACAGAACAGACATTCTGAAATTCTGAAAGTTGAGGCAAGATTTTTTTTGGGTGGACACTTCTTATGGAAATTAAACCTTGAAGTATTGAATTTATCTGCAGCTGCTTTTGTAGATTCTCATGCTGCATGACACACAACTTGGCCAGAGACAAATCTGCATTGCATTGTGGACAGTGTCCTGCAGGGCATTTTGGCAATGAAAATAAAGCAGAATCGAAATGCCAACAGGAAGACGGATATCTTATTTTGTTGTTGCACTGATCTGAAAAACAGCTTTAGGTCAGTTCAGCAGGGGGCAATATTCTGGCTGGAGAAGAACAGTTTTAGAATGATTTATTTTCCCAGTAGAAAACTGAATTATTTGGCAATACTCTGTCCTGCAGGGACTCTTTCTTCAGAAACTACATTATTTTCACTGGGAAATCATTACACTTTTAGTGTTTTTGTACAAGCCACAGAGCTGGTAATTCGTAACTGCTTTTAGTTTTTGTTTTAGTTTTTGTTTTAGTGTTGGCCTTACAGGATTCAAAACAAAAGACACTTTCTGGTATCACTGTGTGTTTCTTGAGTTTTCCAAACCTCCCAAACCATGATCAGTGCTCAGCTGGAGATAGCAGAGGCTGCTCCCAACAGAGTTGAGTGGGTTTTTTTAACTTTAGGGAAAATCCGTGAGTCCCATTTTTCTCCTGTGCTGAGCCTGAGCAGTGCCTGTGCTAGCAACAAGCCTAGCGCGCTGGCACAAGAAGGATGTGCCAGAGACATACATGTGAACAGGAGGGATGTGATGCCTCTGTTGTAGCCCCCAGTGGGGGATCCCCACCACCTAAAAAGCATTAGAGTCACAGTGACCCCCAAATCATATTGTTTTGGTTGTCTTTTAGTTAAAATAGTAGTGTGGCAGTTTTTTATGCTTTAAATGATCCGCTGGCAACTTCTGTGTTATGTGGGGCAGCACCAGTAAACTCACTTCTGTTTGTTTGTTTAGATGACTTCCACTTGCCTCTTGATGTTGTACCAGCTGTGACAGAGGCGCTTGACTCCAAGACGAAAGGGGAAGATTTGCACAAGGAGAGCAGACCTTTCCGCTACTGTGAAAAAAACACCATGGACCTATCAGACAGTGACCGTCCTGTCAGCTTTAGTTCCACTTCCTCCTCTGCATCCTCCCGGGACAGTCACTGCTCCTTTGGAAGCAGAATGACCTTGGTTTCCAACAGCCACTTGGGTTTGTTCAACCAGGATAAAGAAACTGGTGCCATCAAGCTAGAACTGGTCCCCGCCAGGCGATTTTCCAGCAATAAGACATGTGAAAACACTGTTGAACAAGAGGATCCTGAGGAAAGCCTTGAAAAAAGGCCAAGCATGCCGAGGAAAGTAGAACCAAGAGGAGCGAGCAAAAACTGTGCAATGTCCCTCGTCACAGAGCCCACCAGTCCGAAGCTTCTCTATGTAGACAGAGTTGTCCAAGAGATTCTGGAGACAGAGAGGATGTATGTGCAGGATCTAAAAAGCATTGTCAAGGTAGGGGTCTTGGTTAGGATGGTGTTAACTGTTCCATAATGCCATTTTTATATTGTTTGATTTCACAGCAGGACAGATGGTCTTGACAATGGAACTGGCATTTGTTGGTCTTTATAAACCAGTGTAATATCATTGTTCTAGTGTGTTTCTAGTTTTTATTTGATTAGATAATTCTAAGCTGTTACTATACATTCATGAAAAAATAACAGAAAAAAATCCTACAGTTGGCAGCCCTAGTGAACAAAGAGTGATAAACTCTTTGCAGTAACAAAACTTTTTATACTTACAAAAAATATATATTCCTCTGTATCCTGGAATATATAGCAAGAAGCAAACAGACAGCTGTAAATGCCCCTTTAAAGGCTTTATCTAAAGGGTCTTACTTATTGATTATTCCATCCCTCTGCCTCCAAGTCCTAGTCCTGCAAGTTCTTTCCTGCCTTTCCCTCCCTCCATTTAATGCAGCTCACGGCTGCAGTCTGTTCTTCCCGTGTCCTTGGCCTGTAGTATTGAATATGGCATTTTTATTTGCTGGAAAATACTCTTGTTTGACTGTTATATGAAGGAATCGTTTTCTGTAGTACTAATTCTGAAGTAATGTTGCTAATAAGTGGGTGTAGCATTTATTAGCAACAGTGAAGTTTTTGTTCAATCCCCAACCTAACAGTACATTTTATTTCCCCTTTCTAGTACAGGAAAAAATATGGATGAGTCCTTCTGTGGATTGTTGTTTTCACTCCATATACTCATGGCTGTGCCATCTGAATCATGTTGGTTTATATTTTTGAAGATGACAAGTCCCTTGGCTGTTGTTTGTAGTCAACGTACTTAGCCCACAGAGAAGGGTTTCTTGGGAGATGCATGTTCAATGCACTGTTTGTAGAACTTAGAGCTCTAGGTAGGTGTATGTGGTCACCTGAAAAAGGAAATATCAGCCAGCTGGAGATACTCTCCCTACCCACAGCTCCAACCCACCTGATCTCCCAAGCAGTAGTGGGGAAAGCTTTGATAACACAAATGCACATCATGATTGAACGCCCCAGCCCCGTAAGTTCACATAAAGGTGGCTTTTTCTGCAAGACTGCATTGGTTTCCATAGCTAGTGCTGTTTTACTACATTCAACTGTTGCCCAAGTTTCATTTTGAAGTGCTTAAAGTTGTCAGATGCTGCAGAACCAAGTCAGCTTCTGTGTGTAGTCACCAGTCACTAGGCATGACTTCCATGTAAGGTTTTGGAAACCTTAGCCCTCACTTGTCCACCTATGCAGTAAACTGTACAACTTGAGAAACTGAAAACAATAATTAAAATCTTGAAGCAGATTTTCTGTTTACACGTAGGAAGACCAGTAAATGCTTTCTAGAGAATAGTTTAAGGATCACTACGGTAGATGTAGATTAAATAAGGCAAATGCACTTCTAATTAGGAAAGAATTGGAGGAATTATGAACCTGTGAAGTGCCCAAGCCTATTTCCTGCAGCAACTAATAATGAATCTTGAAAGCTTTGTGTGGCACTAGACAGCTTTGAGAGATGGAATAGTTGGCAGTGGGGCTTTTCCTAGGTAGGTGCTGAGGATCCAAGATGTTCAAAGGAGCTGCTTCCCAGATGATAAGGACAGCGGGGAACCAGCTGCCTCAACCTGTGCAGAATGTTCTTCTCTTGGTTTCGGGGGAGAGAGGTGTGACTGGACATTACAGAAGAGCCCATTTCATATGTTTCTCAGGATTCCTTTCTCCATAAGTTACCTTAGCAATGCTGCAGTAATTTACCTAAGCAAGGGTGGAGGTTGTGAGGAGGTCTACTCCATAGACATATGTAGAAGTGCTGTAGCCTTATAGGGCTTGATCATCTGCACCATCTGCCATTTAGTTTGACAGGCAGATACCTGGTGCTGAGCCAAACTAAGATGAAGGCATGCAGCTTCATTTTCGAGATAAACATGGATCAGATTTGGCAGCTGGTTAGGAAATGGGATGAGAATGGGAAAGGGGGAGCTGGAGAGAGGTCAAAGGGCAACTGCTGCCCTAGGAGTGTGTGGGAGCTGAAGAGATATATGAAGGTGGGAGCTGGTGGAAGAAAGCATAAGCAAATGAATCAGTGGTAAGTGGAGAGAGAGAGAAAATCATTAGAGGGAAAACAATATAAGGAAATTAGGGAAAACCCAGGAAGTGGAAAGTTAAAATGCGAGATTGGTTGGAACTGGAGCTCTCTAGCAAGTTTGCAGCTGACTGCAATAGAATATCACAGAATGAGTAATGTTGGAAGGGACCACAGGTGGAGGGAGTCATTTGGTTCAACCTCCCTGCTCAAGCAGGGTCATCCTAGAGCACAAGGCACAGAATTGTCCATATGGTCCTTAAATATCTCCAGTGAGGGAGACACCACAACCCTCTGGGCAATCTGTTCTAGTGCACAGTCACCTGCACAGTAAAGAATTTCTTCTTCATGTTCAGGTGGAACTTCCAGAGCATCAGTTTCTGCCTGTTGCCTCTTGCCCTAGTGCTTGGTTCCTAATCATCTTCACAGCCTTCCGTTGGGCTTACTTCAGCAGTTCAATGTCCCTCTTGTACTTAGGAGCCCAGAACTGGACACAGCACTCCAGAAGTGGCCTCACTAGGGCTGAGTAGAGGTGCAGGATCACCTCTTTTGACCTGCTGGCAATGCTCTTCCTGATGCACCCCAGAATACCATTGGCCTTCTTGGGCACAAGGGCACACTGCTGTCTCATGGACAGCTTGTTGTCCACCAGGACCCTCGAAGCTTATGTTCACAGTCTAAAAATAGTAAGGAGGGTTGGGGTTTTTTTCAGGGTGGTTTTGGGGTTTTTTGGCAGAGGGAAGAAGAAAGAGAAGCAGGGCAACCACTTACATAAGAGATATCAGGATGGCATAAGAACAAAAAGGGAAAAACAAACAAGTACCATTTTAATCACCCTCTACACCCAGCTGTGAACTGTCAGTATAGATCTAGTCTATTGCTTTTTGTCCTTTGGTAGAGGGGATTTGGGAGATGTTCTCCATAGAAAGTGGAAACATACTCAAAAAGAACATGTTCTCACTGTTTCCAGCACTTTGAAGCAGGTTTTAGTGCTGGAACTGAGAGGGTATCAAAACTCACATCCATGAATCTACGCTCTACATTTCTGGGGTAAAGCAAGGCATGTTTGCTTGTCACAGTCAAGGTTTTTTGGTTTATTTTCTTCTCGGGAGTGGGGTGTTTTGTGGGGTGGGGGTTGTTTGTTTGATTTTTTAGGTTTTTAGGGGTTGGGAAGATTATTTTTTTTTTAAATTAGTTTCAGGGGGGCTATTGGGTTTTTTTTGGCTTAGAGATTTTTTTAATATATTCATACTCTTTCCCATTATCAAAATCATTAATGAATACATTAAACAGGACAGAATACAGTATTAGCCCCTAGGGTATGCCACTAACCACTGGCCTCCAACTAGATTTTATGCCTGTGAACACCACACTCAGGTCCTGTCTGGTTAGCCAGTTTTCAGTCAAACTTAGTGTCTGCTTTATCCAGTTCATACTTCTTCAACTTGTGTGTGAGGATCTTAAGAAATTAAAAGCCTTTCTGAAGTCAAGGGAGACAATATCCACTGCTTTCCACTGATATACCAAGCCATTTGTTTTGTAGTTAAAAGGTTATCAGACTGGTCAGCTTTCCCTTGGTGAATCCCTGATGACTGTTCTTGATTACCTTCTTGCCCTTAGTGTGCCTGGAACTGGTTCTCAGGACTAGCTGCACACAAATGAGCCATTAATATGGATGATGTGAAATTGCATGTAGGATCCTGGTACTAGTCATACTGACAGAATTCAGCTCAGTAAGAGTTAGCCTAGCACAGTATTATGGGCAGTGTCCTTTCAACCTGTGTTGTCCTTAGAACATGGAGTTATCATGCCTGAAGTAAAACACTATGGATGAATGGGGCAAAATAGAATTTTGTCCTTTTTGATGCTTGTATTGGCCTAATGCTGTTAGGTCATTGATAAATAAATAAATAAAAATAAACTAAAAAGACATAACTTCGAGGCCTTTTGCGTATCTGGGTGATGTTGACAGTGCCAAGTTGGTAGATAGAAGTAGAAATTGACTTTATGGGACATGGTTAATGTGATTTTTATATTATACTGGAGACCTGCTGAGGTTCTCCAGCTTTCTTTTAAACTGCTGATAAGAAGTACTTAATGGGCTTAGAATGAGTGAGAGGAGGCTGCACAGGTGCTATTTGGCACCCTTTGCTCCAGGATATGCATTAAAACCCAACTGCTTTTCTAGCCAGTACAGCCATTTTGTGTGTGACCTGGATGAGTTATGATTGTTTTGAGCACACTGCTGTGACTCTTGCACAGGCAAGCATCTCAACAAAGATAGAACTTTTCCATCGTTTGCTATGTTTTATCAGATTATCTGTTAAGGATAATTAAAGTTTTCAATGAGTGCAGCTTGAAGCTTGTTTTGGGCAAGTTTGTGATGAGAAATCAGATATCTCTTCTTCCTGCTTGTGTCATTCTGACAGGTGTACTGGCCAGGGCAGAACTCACTGACCTTCTCCTCTTCAGGACCTTCCCTGACTTTTTCAAGTAGTAATGTAGTTAGAATAGGCATAACCTTCCATTAGAGTCACTTACTCAAGTAACTTTTTTTTTCTCCTGAATAGAATGCTGTCTCAGAATTTATAATAAAACTGTGTTTTGCCCTTGCAGTTCATAGGAGTCAGAAGCCCACATTTGTAATTTGTACAATGGCTAGTAACTGTAGAAAGACATCTACATTTGTGTTTTATCTTTGCAAAATTAAAGAATAATGCAAATGCACTGTTACAATGCTTGCATCTGTCATTTTACATTAAATACCTTCATAGTGATATCAGCTCATTGAGAACATCTAGATCCACAGCATGGACCTCAGTCTTGGTACAAGATCCTCTATCAGTAAAATAATATAAGTAAAAAGTCATCAATATCTATACAATAGCTAGAGGGGAATGAAG